CTGCACGGGTTCGAGGCGGCGGCGCTGCGGGACGAGACCGGCGAGGAGGCGGAGGTGGAGCTGGCCGAGAGCGGCCGGCGGCTGCGGCTGCCGCGGGACCAGATCCAGCGCATGAACCCGCCCAAGTTCAGCAAGGCCGAGGACATGGCGGAGCTGACCTGCCTCAACGAGGCCTCGGTGCTGCACAACCTGCGGGAGAGATACTACTCCGGCCTCATCTACGTGAGTGGCCCCGGGCACTGAGGATGGCTGAGGGTGGGGGCTGCAGGCAGCGCCCGCCCGCGTCACCCACCACGCTTAGTTCTCAGTGGCGAACTCCCAGTGAGCCACGACCAGGACTGACCCAGAGGGACCGGAGGGGACCCCTGACAGTGGGGGTGGCTTTCCGGACTGGCGAGCACCCTCAAAACGGGCGGGCTGTGGGACTGCCGCTCACAGGTGGACTGATTTCATTTCCCCTCAGGCAGGGTGGGGGCTGTTATTACCCCATTTTACCTGACAGGAGACTGTGGCCCAGAGAGATTTCATAAGAACTATCGGGGAAGCTCCTAGGCACCCTGAAGTTTATCATCCTTAGTCCCTTTTCACACCATACAGGATTCTGTCCCCATTCCACAGAGGAAGAAGCGGAGGCACAGAGGTCAAGCTCCTTGGCTCTCTGGTGCCAAGACCCCTGGGTGGTCTGGTTTACGGCCGAGCCTTCGCTTCGGAGCCTTTTAGGAATGAGGTGGGGTTGATGGTAGTAAGGTGGGCTGTGGCGGTCCAGTTTCTGTCCCAGCAGCTGATGCCAGCTATTTAATCAACTAACGCACAGAGCAGGCCAGCGTCGAAACCTCCCTTCTCGTCAGAATCTGCCTGGGGAGTTAAAAAAAAAATCCCAGTGCCCAAGCCCCACCCTGGACCCATGTAAATCTGGTTCTGGGGGGTTGGGGTGATGGCCTTAGTTTTTTGGGTATTTTTTTTTTTTGTTTATTTGTTTTTAAGGATTTATTTACTTGTGCACACAGAACTGGGGTACAGGCCAGAGGCTCAGGGGCAGTGAGAGGCTTCACCACAGACAGAGTGGGGAGCAGAACAGGCAGACTAACGAAGTCCACTGCTGAGGGGAGCAGGAGGCGGGTCAGGAGAGGTCTGCTGTGCCCTGTGGGTCACCTCCGGGGCCGGGGATTGAACTCTCACCGAAGCTGCCGCGCCAGCTTGCAGTGCTGCGTCCCAACCCATTGCACACCAGGGAGGGCCGGCCTTGGTATTTTTAATCCACTTCTAGGGTGCTCTAATGGGAAGTCAGAGGATTATTCAGGGCAAACAGGATTAGAGAGACTGACGAAGAATGTCAACAACAATAATGAAAAATAATAGTAATGGGTGGCTGGCAAATATTTATTGAGCACTTGTGATGTGCCAAGTACTGTTCAGCTCACCTCTGGGCCAGGGACTGTTGTCATCTGACGGTCAGGAATGTTAAGTGACTTGAGCCCTGGTGGCCGCCATGAAGAAGTCATGGGGGCATTTGAGCCCGGAGACTTGCCCCAAGCTCAGCTCAGAGGTCTTGTGGCTCATTGACCGGCCACCACGCCACAAAGAAAGGAATAGTTCAGGTTTTATATTAAAAAAAAAAAAAGAAATCCAAGAACAACTGGAACTCAGCAGCCACCGAAGTGGGGATTACGAAGTGGGGATTAGGTCCTGCCCACACCGGAGCCCCAGGGTGACCACCGGGCCGGGAAGGCCACGGTGCAGCGTGTCAGGGAAAAACGAGCTAAGTCTGTTGCCAGTGAGCCCACAGCCTGGCCTGGCCAGTGCACGTGACATGGACAGAACCTGGGCTTTTGGGTGGCTCTTCCTGGTTCCTGTCCCTGCTGATGAGGACAGGGGCCCCCAAAAGTAGACTCTGGCTAGATGCTAGAGGTGTGCTCCACCCTGCTTCGTTCCTGCCTCGCTTTAGCAAGACAAGTTGGCTCGCCAGCTGGTAGAAGGAAAGGTGGTGCTGCCCTGCGGAAAGGGGGTGTCCCGGCTCCAGAAACCCAGTGTCTGCCCCTCACAATGGCTCAGGGTCCAGGGCTCTCTCCTGAGATGCTCGAGTCCCAAGCCTGGATGCCGCCTGAGTGCCTTTCCCTCTTGGGGTCCCTGCAGGCTCAGGGCTCCACAGGCCCATTTTCCTGGGGGTGGAGGCTGAGGCCCCAGGGGGCACCCCAGCAGCTAGGAGAGGCCTTGTTAGGCCCTGATGACTTGATTTCGGCTGGAGCCCGGTAACCTGAGCCTCCCAGAACCCCTATTTGGAGGCCTTAGAGGCCACACCCTGCTCATTATCTGCCTTAATCCCCCCGGGCTCCCATAATGAGTGGGGTGTGCCCTGCTTTCTCAAGGAAGTCCAGAGTCTGGGGTACACGCATGGACTGAGGAGACAGGGAGGACTGGCCAGGGGACCAGACAGGGGAGGGTCTACTGCTCCCGCCTCAGCCGAACCCCAGCGACCCGGGCGCCCCAGCTGTGTCTCTGGGAGCACCAGCCTTTGCCCTTTGCTCCCTGGCCTCGACAGCCAGCTCAGACTCCCTTGGGACAAGGTGTGGCTGGAGGGAGGCATGGGGAGTGGGTTTCTCCTGTTAGGAGTGGAGGCCCGGCGCCAGTGGCCATGAGATACCCTCCCGGGAATGCGGCCCGCCTGCCCCGCCCTCTGCAGGGGGAGCTCCTGGGAGCAGCCTTCCAGCCGGGAGGGCAGACACCCAGCAAACCGGTTGTTCTGCTCCAGGCTGGCCACCCACCCTCCCACCGTTAACAGGCTGGCAGCTGGCGCAGGCCACGCCCTGGACTGTGGAGCCAGAGCTGCCGACGAGTGCTCACAACAGTCCTGTTACTAACCAGCTGCGTGACGTGAAGTGAGCCGCCAGCCAAGTAGCCAGGCAGCCCACTGGCTGGCTCCGGAGCTGACAGTGCTAACTAGGCCTCCAAGCAGCCACCTCTGCTGGCTCGGCTTCCTGAGAGCCAGCTCAGCTAGGAGCTCTCGGGTGGCTTAGCTGGGGGACCAGCGAGTTCTCCAGACGCCTAACTAACTGTAGCTGTGTGCCCCGGATGGGACAGTTCTTCAGGGTTCTGAAACCAGGGGGAATGAGGGTGATGGACAAATTCAGGGGGCCCTTGAACTTGACTGCAAAAGGAAAGTAAGGTGGTGCCTTTCACAAAGCTGGAGTGTGAGGTCGAGCCTTCCTGCCAGGGGCACGGCCCCAGCTGGGGCGTGCGGGTGGGCTGTGAGCGTGGCCTGCAGGCGAGCTCCGTGCCGGTGCGTCTTACCACATCTGCCTAACACGCCTCCGGAGCACAGTTTACCTGCCCCTTCCTCCTGGTTATGATGTCCCGGCAATAGCTCCACCCCTGTACATCCAGAGCTTCTCAAGAACCGGCCCTGGAAACATGCATTCCAGTCTTTGCTGCACCCGCTCATTTCATGCCCATGTGACGCCGGGCTGGGGGACAGGCTGGCCCCCCAGGGTGACATACTCGGGCTCTCAGGGCAGACTCACCCATCCAGCCCTTTTGTGCCACTTGGACCGAGTGTCGGATACCCGTGGCCTGAGCACGTTTATCACAAATGTCCGAATCTGCACGGTCCCTGGTATAAGTGGCCGTGCCCTTTGGTGGACAGCCGCCCCTCTGATGGACGGCTTGTGCAGGGCGCCCCCTCCCGGCCGCGCCGCATCCCCTCTGGGCCGCATGCAGGCGGCTGAGCCCGACCCTGCCTTGCCCGATGCAGACGTATTCCGGCCTCTTCTGCGTGGTCATCAACCCCTACAAGCAGCTCCCCATCTACACGGAGGCCATCGTGGAGATGTACCGGGGCAAGAAGCGCCACGAAGTGCCACCCCACGTGTACGCGGTGACCGAGGGGGCCTACCGGAGCATGCTGCAGGGTGAGTGGGGCTGGGGCCGCCGCGCGGGGCTCCCGCTGGGGGCAGGGTCCGAGGCCGCACTTCATGCGGGCCGCGTGGGCCGGAAGAGCCCCAGCAGGGGCGGGAGGGGCAGGACGCCTGTCGCTCTCCGTTGGTCTCTTCTCAACACGCGTCATTTGGGAGTCAGCGGGTGCCGGCTTTCTGCAGAACCTCTGGCACGTTGATTCCTGCCCTGTTCTTTCCACTCTGCATGTGGGTTGCGGATTTGATCCACCTTGCGACCAAGTGAATGGCAGCCCCGTAGGAGAGGGCGGCGTTGGGTCGCGGTGCCGCTGTGCAGGTGGCACACTCGACGCGCCTTGGGGCTACGCTGCCGCCCTTCACTCCTGACACTGGATGGGTCCTGGCACAAGAACGCGATTCAAGTGTGATGACGTCAGCGCGATGACATAATGCTGCCAGCGCCATGACGCAATGGCGTCGGCAAGATCGTGTAGTGACGTCAGTGAGATGTAATGCCGTCGGCGCGATGACAATGGCGCTGGCACGATTGTGTAGTGACGTCAGTGAGGTGATGTAATGCCGTCGGCGCGATGACGCGATCCCTTCAGCGTGATGACGTGATGACGTCAGCGCCATGATGTATTTATTTTACATCGTCTCTAGTAAATACTGGGCCCGTGAAGATACACATTGCATGCCGCTAAACGTGCATCTTTCCGTCCTGTGGCACAGACGGTGCGCAGCCGTGCAGGGTCGTGCCTGCACGCGCTCCGCTTTACTGCACGCTGTGCCGACAATGCATTCGGGATTATACATCTCTCGTAAGGCAGGTTCGGGGAGGAGCCTGCACTCGCCGCAGTGTCCATTAAACCTTCGCCTCCCATTAGCTGAGGAGGAGCCATGTAATGAAGCTGAGGTTTGCTTAATGTCGAGCGTGGTTCCCGTCGGCACCACCTGGCAACATGTCAGACAGACTCGGGCCCCACCCCGACTGGCTGAGTCAGGGTGCTGGTTGAGGGACCCGTTTTCTTCCATATAGAGGTCCCCGGGCTCCTGGGGATTGGGTCCAGGCTCACGCTGAGGCCAGGGTCCAACGTGCATAAGGGGAATGGTCGTACAGACACATTTATCCTAGGTCACACTTGTTTTCCTGAGTTACTGGTGCGATTTGTTGCATGTTTATTTTTAGAACACGTTTCAGCTCTTATTATAGACCAGTTACTATAGCATAGGGATAAAAGCCAGCAAGGGTGAGTGCTGGTCCATGCCAAACGCTTCCTATGAATTAGCACCTGGAACCTCACAGGTATCCCCTAAAGTCAATGGTTTCCAGATGGGGAAACTGAGGCACGGCACAGTGGCAGTGGGTGGCCCACGTGGGGCTGGGACCCAGGGCCCCGACCACCACCTGTCACTGTAGCAGGCCCTCATCTGTGGTCAGGGACCGCGAGTTTTGATGTGTGACATTCTTGCCCTGGCTCAAGCTCTGGCTAGCTGTGTAACCTTGGGGGAGTGGCTGAGCCTCCGGTCCCTCGCCTGTGAAATGAGACAAGAAGCCTCAACTGAAACAACTGTCAATGTGAGCACCTCCTAGGTGTCTCCTAGGCGTGGAGAATGTGACAAACCAGGCCACAGAGCTCGTTACGTAACTAGTTGGCTATGAAGCCTCTGAACATTCTCACGGAGTCTGACCATAGCCTGCTGAATGCCTTTCAGATGGGGAAACTAAGGCACAGAGCCAACTCACCTGAGTTATACGAGGCTGACAGGTAGCAGGGTCTGGAACCCACGACCACACAGCCCCCAGACTAGCCTGCTCACGCAAAAGCTCTCCTGAATGCAGTTCTCTCTGGCTTAAAGCCATCCAGAGGCTTCCAGCCGCCCTGCTTAAAAGCCAGTCCTCTTCACTCTGGCCTCCAAACCCATTTCCACCACCTCAGCTTGGCTCTGCCACAGGGCCTTTGCACAGACCATGCCTCTGACTCTTTGCCCTTTTACGGGCTGAGCACATTCACCTCTTCTGAGAAGCCTTCCTGACCCTTCTCATGACTTTGCATAGAAGAGCTGGGGTGAAGTGGGGTGGTGAGAGGAGTCACCAGAGAGAGTGGGGAGCAAAACAGGCGGATCTACTGAAATCCACCGCTGAGGGGGGCAGAGGGAGACAGGAGAGGTCTGCTGTGTCACCTGAGTCAGCGGCCTGGTGGGGATGGACTCAGGCCGCAGCAGTGACAGCGCTGAGCCTTGACCCCTAGGCCACCAGGAGGCCCCCCCATTGCTCTAGACCAGGTTTCTTGTTTCTGGCTCTGCAGGCATCTGGGGCGCTGGCCTCAGAGACCGACGGGTGTTAAGCAGCACCCCTGGCCCGTACCTGCTGGAGGCTTGCAGGGGTGGCTGCAGACGCTGCCCGCGGTGAAGTCACCTTTGGTTTTCGAGCAAGTGCTTTCTGTGGAAGCTCGGTGAGGGCAGGGACCTTTCAGGTCTCACTGCCTCAGTGCCTGGCGTGCCTTTGTGGAAGGGTGTGTCAGGCTAGGTGGTGGGTAGGGGGCTGCTGGGGAGACTTCAGGGGACTGACCACTGTCACGGCCGCTTGGGGACCAGTTTTTATACCAGAGGCCGAGCCCTGTGGGCCTGTGGTCCAGGACCTCGCTGGGGCTCACATTGTGAGCAGGGGCTCACATTGAAGGTTAGCGACTGGCTACACTGAGGTTTGTCTCCTTCACGGGTGAGGAAATGGAGCCTCAGAGAGGGTCAGCTGCTCCCCAGGGTCACACAGCCAGCCAGAGGCTTAACCAGAGTGTGGTTTCAGCGTCTGGGGGCGTCACACACCCAACTGAAGCTGTCCCTTACTCCTCGGGAGATTCTGAAAAGGGGGTGGCCAGTGTGAGGGGCTGGGGTCCTGCTTGAGGGACCCCACCCAGGTGACAAGCCCCCGTTCTGTCTCTACAGATCGTGAGGACCAGTCCATTCTCTGCACGTGAGTGACCTGGAGCACCCTGTGGGGGGGAGGCTGGGCTTGGCTTGGGGGGCCAGCCTGGGTCCTCACTGCTGACTGCTTTTACTTCCCCTTGTCTCCCAAGCGGGGAGTCCGGAGCCGGGAAGACAGAGAACACCAAGAAGGTCATCCAGTACCTGGCCCTCGTGGCATCGTCGCCCAAGGGCAGGAAGGAGCCGGGTGTCCCCGTAAGTGACCGGCCCCGGGATGTGTTCTGGGCCCTGCCCACCCCTCAGGCGCTCCCTCCTCCCTCCCCCCACATGGACGCCTGTTCTGGCCCCCAGGAGGGCCACACGGGGCCATGTCCTGGCTGCCAGCCCGCCGTGCGCCTACCGTGTGTCCATCATCGCGCAGGGAGGACCGGAAGCAGAGGCCGGTCTCAGGCCCTGGAGAGGCGCCCGGACCCCGGAGCCTCTGCCATGCGCACGGCTGTGTGGCGGGGCCGCTACCCGCAGCGCCTGGGCCCACACTCACAGGGCCTGAGCCCTCAGCGCACCTGAGCGCAGCACGCCGCGACTCCGGCTCCAAGAGCCGTCTGCGCGCTGGGGACCGGCGTCCGCCAGGCCCACGGCCGGGAAGGGCCGCGCAGACCCCCGAGCCACTCCCGCGCGCCCCGAGCCCGGCTCACCTGTGTCTGTCCGTGTTCCATGTGCTGTGTCCTGGCCCCTGTCCCGGTCCGTGTCTCGTGTCTCGTGGTTCCCTCAGGCCTCCGCCAGCAACCTGTCTTATGTGAGTAGCAGGGTTTCACCTCCAGTCTCGTCACCCCAATCCCTGCTGTTCCAGCAAACAGGGCCCAGGGCAGCCACTGCTCACCCGCCCTCAGGCGGCCCCACTGTGCACACAACAGCCCTGCTATCGTTGAGTGCCCCCCACTCTGCAAGCACGGTCCCCCCACGACAGCCCTACGGCGTGAGCACACTGCGTTTAGTGCGGTCCTACTGCGTGAGTGCCCACCGCCCTTCTGTGCTCGAGTGGGAGACGGATCCCGGACACACCACAGGCCGAAACGACCGCGTGTGCGGCACCCCGACTGTGCACAGGAGCACCTCCCCCAGACACCCCCAGTTATTGCAGACCTACTATGCGCACTGTGCCAACAAACTCAGATAGAGTGACCTTCTCTGCGCCACTTCTCACTCCCCCGATGCAGGCAGTGTGGACAGTCGTGTCCACGGGCGTCTCCCAGCGTTCACAAGTGGGGCCTCTGCCTGTAGGGTGTGGGCCTTGGTGGTGTTTTCCTGATCTCACTGCACCCGGGTCGCCTTGAGCAGCTCCCGCGCACTGGGGCAGGCGAGACCCAGACACGCACGGCGCGCACGGCCCGCTGACCGCCAGCTGCCAGCCCCGACCGGCCCCCACGCGCCCACGCGTCAGCCCTTCTCACCCCTGCCCTGTCCCTGGCAGGGTGAGCTGGAGCGGCAGCTCCTTCAGGCCAACCCCATCCTGGAGGCCTTCGGCAACGCCAAGACTGTGAAGAACGACAACTCCTCGCGATTTGTGAGTGGCGGCCAGCGGCCAGCGGCACGGGACATGGGGGCGGCGAGGGGGGGCGGGGCGTGGGCCTGGGGGGAAGTCCAAGGGGCCTGGACCTTGAGCTCCCCAAGGAACCTAAGAGTGGGGTGGGCAAGGGCCGGGGTGCTCCTCAGGCTAGAGAGCCCAGGACCCCCATTAAGCCCCGCCCCACCCCCAGGGCAAGTTCATCCGCATCAACTTCGATGTTGCCGGGTACATCGTGGGTGCGAACATCGAGACCTGTATCCTTCCCCAGCCGAGGGGCGCCGGCGGGACGGGCAGGGCCCGGGGAGGGCGGGCTGGGCCCCGGCGGCCACTCCGGGTCTCACCACAGCCAGGAACCGGCGTCCACGTGTGGGCAGGCAGCGCCCCCTGCCCATCACTCCTCTGCCCCGCGGTGGCCACGAGGCCTGAGCCCAGGCTCCAGCTTACACGGTCTCAGAGCTCAGGGCTGCGCCCCGCCAAGGTCCTGCCAGTCAGGTGGGGCCGCGGCTCTCCGGACCCCTCAGCCTGCGGCCCGACCCGCACCTCTTGAGTGTCAGGCGCCAGGCTCCGGCCTCGCCCTGCCCCCTCCGTCCCTCCCTGTCACCTGGCAGGCGGCTGCAGCCACCATCTCATTTAACAGCTGTGCCCAGGCTCAGGGCTGGCCCCCAGGCGGGCTATGCTTACCTCTCTTGCGCGGTAAGCCCCCCCAACTGTTCCTGGGGCTTCAGGTATCAGCAACTGACCCTCGCCGCATCTCAGGAGCGGAGGGTTATTTTCAAAGCCCTAGTACAGAGGCAGAAACCGGGGCACACTACAGAAGTGAGGTGCCCCGGGCTGCGCCTGTGTGTAGTTAGTGGCAGAGTTGCGGGTGTGGGCTGAGGACGCCCCTGCTATATGGGCGGGCGGGGGGCGGGTAGCTCCGGTGGAGGGGGCTGGTGGGGACCACTCTTCTCGCCGGGGTTCCTTGACTGTCTCCCAGACCTGCTGGAGAAGTCTCGGGCCATCCGCCAGGCCAAGGACGAGTGCAGCTTCCACATCTTCTACCAGCTGCTGGGAGGCGCCAGCGAGCAGCTCAAGGGTGAGACCTGGGGTGCCCGGGTGGGCTTCTGCACGGAGTGGATTCTTTTGCCTGGGGGGGGGGAGGGCTGCCGCCCCCACTTTCTGGTGTCTCCCTTTTGCCGAGCAGAGCCTCCTGCAGCCCAGCGCTAGACTCCGGTGCTCCGGTCCTCCGCTGGGCTCCCGGCTGCCTCGGCCCCGGGGCGCCCCTCACTCTCCTCTCCCGCATCGGGCCTCTGCTTCCGGCGCGCGGCCTGGGGCGCGGTGCCGGGCCTCGGGCCTCTCCTCGGTCCTCTCCTGCTCGCTGGCGGCCGC